GTTTGTAAGCCTAGCTACTAAGTCCCATGATCTTCCAAGCAAGCCCTATGCCCGAGATCCTTTGTTTCCCTAAGCGTCCAGGTATCTCCTGAGGAGGGCCCAAGATCTCCTAGGGAGAGCCCTTGGGTCTCTTTGGCGTCTCAGAAATCCTACATTTTGAGGTTCCCTAAACTGTTAGAACCCTTAGAAGAGTGACCCCTTAATACTAAGGGTACCCCTTTTCCTGTTTTTCTGTTTTAGACCTCTTAAGGACCCAATAATTACTTGGAGGGTCGGGGGACTTACTCAGTAGTTTTTTTAGAGTTATAATTACCATAACCCCAATTCGGGCCTCTTTTAGGGGCTTACTTACTACCTACTTACTAAGTCCCCCGACCCTCCAAGTAAGGGTATCCTTTTTCCTGTTTTCCTGTTTTAGACCTCTTAAGGACCCAGTAATTAGGTCCTTGGAAGCCTAGGGTTCATGTATAGTAGAAGCCAGAAAGTTGGAATATCATTATCGTAACCCCTTAAAGGTAAATTATAGGGGGATCCTACCATTAATCCATATTCCAACTTTCTGGAGTTCCCTAAACCCTAAACCCTAAACCCTAAACCGTGAAGGTATCACGGCGCTCGGCCGGTAGCCGAGGTGCTCAGAGGCGCCCCAAAGTCACGCTCTCGGGTCTTTTACTTGGAGGGTCGGGGGATTTAGTAAGGATCCTCAAAGGGATCCTTAAAGGGCTCCTTAAAGGGATCTATAGGGGGATTATAAGGGGATCTACAAGGGAGGGGAGGTATGGGACTTAGTAAGTAGGTAGTAAGTAGACTTATAAGCACCCTAAAAGGGACCCTAAGTGGGGTTGTGGTACTTATAAGTCCCTAAAATAACCGGTTACTAAGTCCCCCGACCCTCCAAGTAGGCTTCAGGGCTTTATACGGGTTTAGGGATTAGGCTTTAGGGTTTAGGGCTACCCTAAACCCTTAGGCTTCAGGGCCATTATACCATTCCTTCAGGGTTCCTTACCATACTGTAGGGTTTAGGTTCAGCGGTTTAGGGTTTAGGGTTTTTTGGCTTTATACGGGCTTAGTTTGGGTTTAGGGTTTACGGATTAGGGTTTGGAGTTTAGGGTTCCCCCAAGGGTCAAAGTACCTAACCCTAAGGGTCCAAGTGCCCAAATAGTAGGGTTTCAAGGTCCAAAAACCATTCAGAGTATGGATTTGGGGACCTAAAACCCTTCTATGTGGGTACTTGGAGCCTCTGGGTAATAATCGTATACTCTCCAAAATCCTAACCTGGATAACTACTATCCTCAAACCGAGTACCTAATTATTGGATCCTTTGGACCCTTGGGGTTAGGGCTTAGTTTGGGAGTTGTTGGGAGTTGGGGCTTTATGGTTCAGGGGCTCGGCTCGTGGGCTTTAAAGGCTGAGGGGTTTAGGATTAGGATTTAAGCTGTTTTGAATTTTAGAGGTTTATGGTCTTAGGGATTTCGGGCTTCAGGGTTTTGTGGTTTAGGGTCGGGGGGGGTCCTTTCATTGAGGTATCCTGTAATTGCGAAAAAGCTTCTACAGGAGTTGAGAGTTTCTTGTAGCTTCTACTATAGGGGCGTTGTTGTTCTGACCGGGTACTACGGTTGAAAATCATACCAAGCCTCACTAAGGCAGCTGCACACTTGCAGAAGCCTCCTAAATCCCTCTGAGAAAACCTCTATAGAACGTTTTTTTCCTTAATACCAACCCAGAGTCCATACCGTAAAGACCAAATGACCCTAAAAGTAGGGCCCTATAACCCTCATACTATGAGTCGCTATATGGTCTTTGAGCCATAAACCCTTTTAGGGTTCGTCCTTAAGGTATACACACTATTACTCTGGAATTTGGGTCCCCGAAGCCATGAGAAGGATTGTTTTTTGGTGACCTAATTCCACCATGGCAGGACAACGCCGTAAACCCAATCGTAGCCTCGCAGCAGTACCCCTTAACCGACCCGAGAGAAGCCTCATGCACCCTTTGGGGAAGTCCCTTGAACCCCTACTTGGAGGGTCGGGGGACTCATTAAGTAGCCCTTTTTTAGAGTTATAATTATCATAACCCCAATCAGGGTCTTTTTTAGGGTACTTTTAACTCTGCTCATTACCTACTTACTAAGTCCCCCGACCCTCCAAGTACCTACCAGGACTTCGGCGTGCAGCTGCCGAGGCTGCCACTAGCCAGGTCCGGGGACGGCCCTTGATGTCTTCCTATTAAAGGGACGGGGTCCAGGATTTGGAGGTTTAGGGGTTTAGGGTCTAGGGTTTAGGGGGTGAGGATTTTCTCGTGTGTTTTGTAGTGTGAGGGTTTTGGGTCTAGGAGCCCGTGACGGAAGCATGCAGTAGCTGGGACATGCTTGGCCAGTGTCACAAGACTTTGAAGTAGTATGATGAAGGTATTTCCGGGGGGTGGGGCATGAACTGAAAAGCGACTTCTTGCACAAGAGCTTGTCACCTACTTGCTGAACCCCACGACCCTTTGAATAGGTCTCTTGATCCTTGAGCCCTCTAACCGCAGACACGACTCCCTGAGCCCTAAACCTTATAATCCTGAATCTACCCTCAGGGTACAAGTACCTAAGACAGTAGTCATATGCTCCTAAATACTAACTTACATCCTAAGCCCAAGTACCTAGTTAGTAGTTCCTTTCAACCCATAGGGCTACCAAAACTGACCGTGACTCATCTTCAGACTGAACCCAAGTCCATAGTTTGTGACGGTTCGCCGGTCCTTTGGACCCGTAGACCCCACCTCCAGGCTCAACTTGACACGGTTCTCGATGAAGTGGAAAGCCGAGTCTGTTGCCCGGGAACTGATTCGGGGTTTCTAAAATCTAACCCAGATGGTCTCATACAGACCCTTGGGGGGACCATACCTCCTCAAACAGGCCTTGCTTTAAGTCCTGACTATAGCTCCCCCTTACCTTCCTAAGGGTTCCTATGATGGTCTGTATACACTACCCCTATGGAATCAGGTCCAAAAGGCCATCCCTCTTATGGCGTTGGGGACCTAGTTTCAAACTGGTAACATGCATAGACCTTCATGGTAAACAATATACACTTCAGCCACGAAAGGAGCTCCTACATGGCGTTTAAGGCCTGAGTATACAGATGCACTGTGTAGGACATGGAGCCTTAGGGTAGTGGAGGGGCCTGAGGGAGTAGAAGAGGGTTTCCTCTACAGAGGTGCTATAGGGGTCTCAATTAGGGTTTACGGGGCCTTCTGAGGTTTACGGTCCCTAAATCCCAAGCCCTACACCTAAACCCCTAAATCCCGACAAAATTCATAATTAGAATTCGGGCTTGAGGGTCCCACTGCAGTATATTTTTTATACAGTTATACAGGACAGAAAGCAGAATCATGAATGCTTAAATCGTATCACTAAAACCCAGAACCTTAGAGACTTAAACCTTGAAAGACTTGGGAGTCGGAATCCCGAAAACGGAACCTGGAAACAGTGTAGAGGCCAGGAAAGGGAGAGTCCTTGGGTCTTTTTGGGATCTCAGAAACCCTCAATTTTGAGGTTCCTCTAGGACCCTTAGGGTAATGTAGGAACCTCACGAAACCTTGGGGCTTCATTAGGGTTCCTTATATGAATCCTACTGTGTTGGGGTTATAGGCCCAGGGTTTCGTAATCAGGTTCCTACATGAGAAGCCAGGAGCGCCATCAAGTTAGGGAGTCATGACACCAAGCATTCATATTCCATGTTCCGATTTGTTCTGGCCTGCATTGCTGTGGATCCTTCTGTAGTGTAACGGGGGCTTGCAGAATTTATTGAGTCCCCTTGTTGTTTTGGAGAGCAGTTTGGAAATATGGGTGGGTTGATGGTCTCGGGTTTGGATATTCGATATTGGGGTTGAGGTTTCAAAGTCAGGCTTATGCTTGACAGCCATTGTGCGAAATGTGTTTAGTGCTTTCGTCGGCCTTGCACCATCTAGTCTTGGTGGCATGGTTTGCTGAAGTTACTGTGGGGTGCTGCTGGCTATACATGAGTTTTTCTACATGGGCTGCTAGAGGCGTTAAGAGTTCGTTGGTGCCTGAGGCATTGAACAATGGCTTCATAACATACCTAAACCCTAAACCCTGAGCCCATAGCCCATGGAGCGTATTAGGAATACTACAAGACCCAGCAAAGCACAAGCCCTATAAAGCCTTAAGCTACCCCTCAGAACCTGTGGCATTTGGGTATGAGGAAGAACATCCATTATATAGTTCAGCAATATACCTTCAGTCATATTAGGGATCATATCATAGCTTAGGGTATATTCCTGGTTTAAAATATAGGGGTTTTAGGGTTTGGGGTTTTGGGGTTTAGGAGTTAAGGCTTAAGCCCTAAATCCTTCGATTCGACATAAATAAGGATCATGCAATTTCGCGACTAAGTCAGTAAGGAGACATGTGCCATAAGTAGGGTTAGAAGCACTCCGAAGTATAGCTACCTTATGTATAACGAGACCTCCGAACTTGAAGCACCGAGACCCTGGTGTTGGGGGCTATGTTGAGCCTTACCTTAAGAATCCAAGCACCTCATTAATCAACCGCCGTCCAAAATACTCATCTTGAAGTTCCTCACCCTAAACCCTAAACCCTAAACCCTTAAACCCTTAAACCCTAAACCCTAAACCCTAAACCCTTAAACCCTAAACCCTAAACCCTTAAACCCTAAACCCTAAGCCCTAAACCCTCAACCCTACTAAATCCGGGTACCAGGTAATCAGGTCCTGCGAACCCTCCTTAAACCGCATTAGAGAAGTCTCAGAACACAAGAACCCGTTTAGGGTTTAGGGTTTAGGGTTTAGGGGTTTAGGGTTTAGGGTTTAGGTAGTTGCTAGGTCCTGTGGACATTCGGACTGATTGTTATGCTACCGCAAAGCCGGCTACTTGTGAACCCGAAGCTCTATTATTCTTCACAAGTGCCACAGCTGCCCGAGCTCCTTCAGGAACCTGCTGTAGGACTGTAGGATCCTACCGAGACTGTCACCAAGCCATGGCTGGAGAGCGCATCACCTACCGCTTTACATTCCTTGACGTGGCCGAGGACAGAAAGGCGGGAAACAGGTAGGTAGGATTCAGGACCCCGTTATAGTGATGACTTTCCCAAAGGATCCATGTAGCCATATAGTATACACTTAGGCCCCAAAGTACCTACATAGGAACCCCTTTAAGGCCTGAGTATATACTATATATGGGCACATGGAGCCTTAGGGACTGATGACTTTTGTTTATGGTTAACATCACCTCTGGAACCCTTGGAAGCGCTATATCCCTACACCAACAACCAGAAATCCTAAGACCTCAACCCCAAACCCCTAAACCCTAAACCCCAACGATCCCCTATTATAGAGCCCTTAATCCACCGGTGGAGCCCTTAAAGGAAACCTTACCCTAAGGCTCCATGTGCCCATATAGTATATACTTAGGCCTTAAAGGGTTTCCTATATCGGTACTTTGGGGCCTAAGTAAGTGTATACTACATGGCTACATGGAGCCATTGGGTTATAGAATCCCTTAAAGGAACCCTAGACCCTCAACCCCAAGCGGTAAGGTGGATGGCGAAGCCCGTCGTGGTCGGGTCAGGAGCCTTTCCCCGCTGCGGGCATCCGTGGCAAAGTCCGAGACACTCGAGGTGGATGCATCTCGGCTCTTGTTACAGGAACCTAATTTAGGATAGCAAAATGACTCGGCCATTGTTGAATCACGGAGCGTAGTTTAAGATAACGTAATACTGAATTATTACTTGTTTTGCTATAGATCCCTGTTAGGCTAACACAAATGAAATCCCAGGCATGGGCACAGCGTCATCTTCGCACGCTCCGGCAGGGGCAGGATGCAACCGTTTGCGATGCACCTACACAAAACCGGGGCAGCCTCGGACACCCAACGTTGTGCAGCCGCCCATGCATCTACTTTGCAAAGCAGGGGCAGTGCCCGATTGGTGAGGATTGTGGCTTCTGCCACCATCACCACCCCAGTTCACCAAAGCCTGACAAACATCAGCGTGAGTTGATGAGGATGATGCCCAGGCGGGGTGTTCGTTAGGAGCGATTTGATTGTTTTCTTGAAGGAAATGAGCTATTAACGTTTTTCTGACTTTGTTCGAGGTCTGGGCATACGCAAGTCCAGCCTACACCCCAAACCACTCCAACCCTAAACCCTGATTATGTCAGGGCGGAGCTACGAACGCGAGTCCAGGCTAAACCCCAAACCACCCCAACCCCAGGCCCTAAACCCTAAACCCTGCTTATGTCAGGGCGGAGCTGCTGGACGCAAGTCCCTCCAACCCTAAACCATAAGCCCTGATTATGTCAGGGCGGAGCTACTTTCTTTTCTGGCAGAGCTACTTCGGGAGCGTGCCGAGAAAGATGAGATCCAGGATGGGGGCTTTGCTGTGGCGGCCCCTTGGTCAAAGTTGCGATGCCCAAAGGGTCCTATGGGGGATACTTCCCTAAGTCATGATAGTATTTCCTTTATGGAAACCCTACATTCTACTCTATCGGTACATAGGACCCTTTGGGATGTTACATCATAAGCGGATTCATATCAAGCTTTGGCCTGTATTCCTCAATGAAGGGGTATTGGGCTCTCTGGCTTAGGGGCCCCTAAGATGCAGAGTTTGGGGCTTCGGGTGTTGGTCTAGGGTTTAGGGTTTAGGGTTTAGGGTTTAGGGTTTAGGGTTTAGGGTGTTGGTTTGGAGGGTGTTTTGAGGTTCCCTAAAGTGTTAGGACGCATAGGGTTTGGGGATTATAGACCCTGCAGCCTATAGGTTTTGCAGGGCTTATAGGGTCCATAGGGTTTCGGTACTTGGAGGGTCGGGGGATTTACTAAGTAGTGTATTTTTTTGCATCACCAGTACCATAACCCTAATTAGGATCCCTTTTAGGGTACTTATAACTCTACTGATTACCTAGGAAGTCCCTGACACTCCAAGTACCCGAACCCTATGAACCCTATACAGCCCTACAAACCCTATAGGCTGTAGGCCTCACAGTCCCCAAGCCCTAAGCGTCCTAACGCTTTAGGGAACCTCAAAATGTAGGATGTCTGAGACCCCAAAGACACCCCAGGGATCTCCCTAGGAGCTTCCGGACCCTCCTAAGGAGATATCTGGACCCCCTAAACCCTAAACCGTAAACCCTAAACCCAAAACGGCAAACCCCAAACCCAGAGCAAGTCGAGGTGGTGGCGGTCCATGCAGGACTCAAAGGCCCAAAGGGTCCAAAGTACCTATGGGTATAGGGTTTTGGGTTTGGGGTTTAGGGTTTAGGGTTGTCAAAATTATGGTCCCTTTTCGGCCACCCTAAATATTAGGTGCCGTATTATAGTAAGGACCCGAAAAAGGACCCTAATATTGACAACCACCCATGTGGTAGAATGTAGGATTTCTATATTAGGAATTACAGTTATGATTTGGGGAAGCATACCCCGTAATTAATAGTACCCCTACATAGATCCCTTAAAGGAGCCCTCAAAGAGACCCCTATGGATCCCTTAAAGAAACCCTTAACGTATTCCCCATAACCGTACCTCGGACCCTTTGGGAGGTGCTTCGACGGCTTTTTCGAAGCGGGAGTTTCGAAAGTTCCGACTCCTTCGCCAGGTGGCCACAAGCCCTAAACCCAGAAAGCCCTAAACCCTATAAGTCCTAAACCCTAAACCCTCAAAAAGCTTATAACCCCCCCTAAACCCAACAAGCCCTAAACCCTAGCAGTCCTAAACCCTAAACCCTCAAAAAGCTCATCAACCCTAAACCCTACAAGCCCTAAACCCTAGAAGTCCTAAACCCTAAACCCTCAAAAAGCTCATCAACCCTAAACCCTACAAGCCCTAAACCCTAGAAGTCCTAAACCCTAAACCCTCAAAAAGCTCATAAACCCTAGACCCTATAAGCCCTACAGGCCCAACCCTCAGGGCCCTGTTATCTCCTTAGGAGGGTCTGGAATCTCCTAGGAAAAGCCCTTGGGTCTCGCTGGGGCTTCAGAAATGCTACATTTTGAGGTTTCCCAAAGTGTTAGGACCTTTTTGGTAAACCCTCAAAAAGCCCCATAAATCATAAACCTTGAAGCTTACATCGTTGAGGGTTTAATTACGGATTAGGGTCATGCTTTGCAGCTAACACCTCTGTTGATTTGATCATGCAGTATCCATGCTCTGGGATGTGTCGTAATGATTCCTAAACTTAGGGCACTTAACGATTTGGAGTAGTGCATTTTTCTGAGCCGTTTCACTCTGTACCACTTGGGTGGTTATCAAAATTATGGCCCTTTTTTGTCAAAATAAGGACCCAAAAAGGGGCCATAATTTTGACAACCACCGACTTGTGTGCATATTTCAGCTCTAGACCTCCTTACTGCCAGGTGGTTGGGGCAATGAACTTCTCCGCGATGCTTTCGCTGACTGCGCGCCACTGTGAGGGCCGTAGCCAGGCTGTCATACTAAGGGAGCTGAAAGCTTTGCAGAGTGCCCAGTAAAGGCAAGACGCCAAGATCCCTTACACGAAGCCTGCTGCACCTCGCATGATCACGGCGAGCTGAACCCTATGCGCATCATCATCAATGATCAGAAGCGAGCTGAACCCTACGTATACTGAGGTTCAGGTTTCATACAAGAGTTCATAGTATAAAGGTCTACCTAAACTTTAAACCCCACATAACCTATCTTTTGAAAAACTTATATAAAAAGTCATATTGGGGAACCCTAAAAAGGTAGGTTCCTTAGGGTCCAGGTAGGGCGCTTACTTTCAAGCATCCTTGGGTCGTCCAGGTAGAACCCTTAGTGACGCTTTTGACCTCTAATTCCCAGAGACTCCGATATCCCTTAATTAAGGAATATTCATTAAATCATAGTAGGGATCCTACTATAATTTAAGGAATATTCCCTAATTAAGGGATATTGGAGTCTCTGGGTTCCCAGACCCCGAACTCTAAACCCTGAACGCTACCAGCACCCCCAACTGCCCCTCGTTAGAGCCCAAGTAGCCAATATTAAGTTAGTAAAGGGTACCTGGGGGGTGCGGGAAAACCCTGAACCCTTAACCCCCAAACTCTAAAACCTAAACCCCATGACGGTTAGCGGATTAGGGTTACGGGCTCAGGGCTTTTCATCCCCTTAAGTCGCAAGTCGCAGACCCTGAAACCTTAAACCCCAAGCCCTAAACCTAAGGCTTGTTCTTTCCACGCAGAGGCCCCAACCATAGGCTCCTCCTGGTATAGGAATTCTAGCTGCGCAACAGGTAGAAAAGAGCCCTCAAAAACAAAAAAAATAAGCCCCGGCTCCGCTGTTAAGGGCGGGCCCCAGAGCTCGGAGCATCTTCTGCTCCTAGGGACCCAAAAAGGGCTTAAGGGTCTTACTGTTGATGGACAATATCCTGCATGACCCTAAGGACTCTAAACTATGGGGACTATGGTATATTCCTTGTAATGGGTAGTGCAGGGTTTTGTCCATCAGCAGTAGGGTTTAAGGTTTAGGGTTAGGACCTAAGGGTCTGAGGTACTGTTAGGGGGAATACTTTAAGGGTTTCTTTAAGGGATCCATAGGGGTCCCTTTAAGGGTTCCTTTAAGGGATCTATGTAGGGGTACTGTCGCGCGAGATACTTCCCCAAATCAGAATAGTAATTCCTAATATAGAAGCCCACAGTCTACTATATAGGCACCTTTTGGGAAAGGCCGTAAGCATAAGCATTCTGTCGGGGATGTCCCTACCTTATTGGGTTTCAGTATAAGGAGTTTATATGGGAGTTTCCGATAATGGGGAACCCCAGTATAGTACCCTAAATAGTGGGATCCTTATTATAGGGTTATAGGGACCCCAAAATAGGGTACCCCTAATTTTCGGAAACTCCGCTATATTGGGATATGGGTGGTTGTCAAAATTAGGGTCGCTTTTTGGGTCCTCAATATAATACGGCACCTAATATTTAGGGTACCCCAAAAGGGACCCTGATTTTGACAACCACCCATATTCCTATCCTTTTTTGTTTTCTTATGTGCTTTGTTGGGGCTCTATGCACTTCGGATACAGTTTAGGCTCTGCCCCCATACAGCAAGAGCTAGGATGCCCAGTAGTACCCTTATTCCCTTTTTGTAGTCCTAGGTTCCTTATAAAGTTACCCAATACCAAAAAAGAGGCCTTTTTAGTCTTAGGTTACTGGGTATCCTAGAGAGTCCATGATAGGACTACTACAAAGGTCCTAATATATCTATATCATGAATATCGTGAATATTACTCAACTATGACTGAGTGGGGGACGTACCCATGATACAGCATTGTCGGTTTAGGGTTTAGGGTCACAAAGCGTCCTACGTACTTATCTTCACAGTTCTTAGGAGTCATTTTAAGCAGCCGGTATCATAGAACTCTTAAGGGGTTGTAAAGGTAGTTTTCTGTTATGGTTCCAAGGGCGCGTAAGCTTTGCGTTGGATTCTTACCAAAACTATAAAAGCAGTTCCTACTCTAGAAACCCTGCTTTCTACTATGCTTGTACTTAGGACCCTTGTGATTTACTGTATGATGTAACGTAAGTGGTGCAATACAGTATGGCAATATTTACGACATGATGTGAAAGATGATGAAGCACGATAAGACAATATGTATTTGGATGCATGATAGCCCTATCGTGCTGCTAGAGGCGCAGCAAGGACGTGCTAGGGATCTGCACCGGTATGCATGAGCCGGTGAATCACATAATGGCTCGACCACATTGGCAGCTCACTGCGACTCTGCTTAGGCTGTAAGTTGCTGCCAGTGGACTGCCTACTGAGGCTTCTAATCCTGCCTTTGCAGCCGAGAAGTCCAAATATGGAGTTTCCGAAAATGGTGGTACATTATTTGGGGTCCTTATAATTAGGATCCTACTATTTAGGGTTCTATATTAGGGTCCCCTATTTTAGGAAACTGCCATATTATAGCTACAACCCGTATTATGATTCCGGGAGGTTCTTCATTGTGTCTTACAGTACGAAAACACTTATGCCCCCGAACCTTGTGTCAGCTGTTGAGGCCTCTGTAGAGCATGGTCTTTGCTTCGTTGGAGCCGGGGGTGCCGATGTCGTTGGCGCCCCGCGGCAAACCTCCCGCCCCACTCTGCAGGTTGGAAATTGAACCGACAAACCTTCAACCGTAATCACGCACAGGCCGAGACTCTAGGAAAATCGCCCAAAACCCCTCTAAACCCTAAAGTACCCATAAACCCTATAAGCTCACAAACCCACTCATCAAACCCCGTGAAACCCTACCCGATAAGATGCGTAAAGTCCCTACCCCCAAGGGTCCTGACACGTACTTTAGGGAACCTCAAAATGTAGGGTGTCTGAGACCCCAAATAGACTCAAGGGCTCTCCCCAGGAGAGTCCGTCCTAAGGAGATGCCTGGACCCTTAGGGTAAACCCAAACCCCCAAACTCCAAAACCCTGAAGCCTAAAACCCTAAACCCCAAAACTCTAAACCCAAAAAGCCCTAAACCCCCAAACTCTAAACCCTAAAACCATCCCTAAATCCTGCGTTCGGGCGGTCGGTGCATGTTTTAATGGGCAGCGGCCCAAGGAGCCACGGCAGAAGGCGGCCGGAGCACTTACTAAGTAGTTACTTTAGAGAGTTATAAGTATACCATAACCACAATTAGGATCCCTTTAAGGGTACTTATAAGTCTATACTTATTCTAGGATGCCCAGTAGTACCCTTATTCCCTTTTTGTAGTCCTAGGTTCCTTTTAAAGTTACCCAATACCAAAAAGAGAGGCCTTTTTATTCTTAGGTTATTGGGTATCCTAGTATTTCCTACTTACTAAGTCCCCCGACCCTCCAAGTAGCAGGCCCCAGGGGCTGCGTCCGCAACTCCGACCTACATTGGTTTGAGGGGGATTTAGGGGCTTGGGCTTTAGTGCTTAGGGGGTTTAGTGGTTAGGGGGTTTAGGGTTTTAGGGTTAAGGGTTTTTTGGGTTTAGGGGTTTCGGGGTTTCGGGTTAAGGGGTTTTAGGGGTTTAGGGTCTAGAGTGCTTTAGGGTCAGCGTGTTGGGTTTGGGGATTTGGCTCTTGGGATTTAGAGTTTGCCGACCTTTAGAAAGTTCTATACGGTTCCCCTGAAAAACCATGAGCGGTTCGGGGACAGTTATGTACAGGGGTCTAGGCATTTTGCGGTGTTTGAAGGGTTTTAGAGTTGGAGCTTCAGGGGTTATAGAGTTTAGGACTTTATGGTCTTAGATTCGTTGGGGGTTTTAGTGAGCTTGCAGACTCACGCATTCGTTGGCAGGTGCTGCGGGTCCTAGCACGAGGGTTCTGGCTGTAGCCTGCCTTGGCTCATCCTAGTCTTGACTATGACAAAGCCCTAAGAGTCCATGTATTTGTTTTTGTGCAATTACACCTTGCCCTTAAAGCAGCCCCTGGTAAAGAGCATGAAGGCCCAAGTATGAGGCTACATGGACCCTTTGGGAAGGCACATGGGTGTTGTCAAGCGCCATGTGCGTGCCAAGCTAAGTATCGAATTCTTTGGTTTGATCCAAAGTTTTCGCGAATCTTCCGGATTCCGGCAGTGAGGTGGCGTCTGTGTACACAGAGAGCGAAACGCTCCGCCGCCTGGGCACCCAACACAACCCGCTTCGAAGAAGGCTCCCCTGAGCCCACTGCTGTTCTGGTACGAGCAGCCGATTTTTCCACATCAATAAATGATACTTCCAACATGTACAGGTACAGCGGCGCTGACAGCGCTCGATCTTTTTTTCTTGTGATGTGTGCTTCGGCTGATGGACTGAACCCTTCACTGCGTTAAGTACACTAACCAGGATCTACCATGGGGCATTCCTTCTTACGTGTGGGTAATGCAGGTTCTGTCCACAAGCAGAACGACGAAGCCACTCACTCCAATACACGAACAAGAATAAATGCTGAACGGCCTGAATTGCTTCGAGCTGGCTTACTATGGGGGCCTTAGTAATCCGTTGAGCACAGATCTTGCCTTTCTATGCTGGTTACCCCCTATGTAATGTAGGCCCCTGATTGAAACCCTAGTCCATAAGCCACGAAACCCTAAAGCCATAAGAGCCCGAATCTTAGAACCCCCTTTTTGTTTATCCCTATTCAGGGCCCAACCTGGATTCACAGACCCTGTGCCCCAACTACACACTCGCGGGGGTCAAACTTTCTGCTGTTCTAAGGGGTTCAGGGTTTAGGTACATCCGAAGACAAAGGGGTCATAACCTACTATGGTGTAGGGTTTTTGGGGGCTACAGATAATCCGATAGCCGCCAGCAAGCATGAGCAAATGATCGCATCCGATGCTACCTGTATGGTCCGTATGTACTACTTGGAGGGTCGGGGGACTTAGTAACTGGTTATTTTAGGGACTTATAAGTACCATAACCCCAATTAGGGTCCCTTGTAGGGTACTTATAAGTCTACTTACTACCTACTTACTAAGTCCCCCGACCCTCCAAGTAGTCGCTAGTCGCAACAGCAGCATCTCCAAGGTTTCTTTCTG